CACACGATTTTTACATGTCACAAAACAGTATTCTTCTTTTGATTTCTTTTCAACCTTTTAAAAATGTGAAACCGTTCTTAGCTCTTGAGCAGTACAAAAACAGATGGCAGGCCGGCTGAGGCCCTGGACCACGGAGGGATGGCTTTGGGTTTGGGAGTCAGGCAGATGGGGGTTTGAATCCTGGCTCAGCCATATAGCAGAGCTTTCTTGGCCTCATGCTCTGCGGGGGTTCTGCATCTGTAAAGTGGAGGTTAACAATCAACTACGTTCGTGTGAGAATTAAATGAAATAGAGGATGCTACCGCTGCCGGCACAGGTGACCCATGGTTCATACTCAGAAAGCTCCAGGACCCTGAGGTCTGAAGGCCCCAGAGACAAATATCTCTACCACAAGCTTTGACAAACAGAGCGTCCATTCAAGAGCACTCACTACTTCCATGTCACCAGCCATAGGGGATATTGCAACAAAGAAAACTGTCCCAGGAATGAAAGGAGATGGTGGGGGGAAGACAGAGACAAAGGCAAATCAGTTCACCAGATTCTGCCAAATCAACAGTAAAGCAAAGTGCCCCCACCTAGGGGAAGAGCCCCACTGGGGAAAGGAGAGCCCTGGTATCTGTAACATTTGGATGCCAACACGACAACTGTATTCAAGTTACTGGGAAGAGTAAAAGAAATGAAGAGGCTGTAAGGAGCACAGTGCCTGGCCCTTGGCTGGCACTCCTTAAATGTTCCTGCTGTAACCACCATCCATCTATGCAGACTTGGGACGAGTGCCAAATCACAGCCTTCCCAGGTTTCTGAACAAGCGGATGGCAGGAAGGGGGTAGTGTGCTTAGGATCCCTTAGAAGCAGATTCCTGTACCAGAAGAAAACCCTGGGACCTGGGACCCTCTTTCTGGTCCCAGGGCACCCTTGCCTAGGCTGTTGCGGCTGCGGATGCTGCTGACAAAACTCCCAGGGAAAGTTTCACAGAGCACCAGCGTGGACTTTGAACAAGTGACAGCTGCAGCGAGAAGAAACAGGGCGGTCTCCACAGGGAATGCCCTGAGCCCTACTGGGCAGCTGGGGTTCAGGGTTCCTGGTCTGCAACAGGCTGGCCTCCAATTTACAGCCTTCAGGGAGTAAATACCTGATTATGCAAAGTAGTTGAAATAGTCTTTTCAAAACAAAGAAGCCACCAGTACTTGAGGGGCTGAACTTTCGAAGTATCAGGTCCAGTGGAGGGTCAAGGAAGAGGAGTATAGATCAATATATCAATAATATATATGTATTGGGGGAGGAAGAAACTTTACCCTTCTAGGTTCTTCTGGCTGGTCTAGTAATCAAATAAACATGATACAAATTAACAAGAGAAAACAGCCAAATTACACACTGGCATGGGAACCCCACATATATGAGGGAGTCAGAGGCCCCACCTACTCACACATGAGAGGTTCAGAGGCAGAAAGTTAAAAGGAGGTGTATACAACATTCTGAGCTAAGGTGCTTTGGGACTCCAGTGGGGAGGAAAGTCATTCAAAGGACATAAGAGCAGATATTCAGTAATGAGAAGTTTGCACTGCCCTATAGATCAGTCATAAAAATTAAATTTTTTTTTTACGGGAGACATTATGTTTCTCGTGACCCCGCGGGGTATCTAGTGCCTTCGGCTCAAAATAATTCACATGCCAAAGTGGTACATCTTGGGGAGGCCTGTTCTGAACCCCTACAATATATAAAATAAATATGTCAATAATAGCTAACATTTAAACATCTTTTACCAGGTGTCAGGTAATTTACACGCTAAGACACCCATTATCTGACTTAATCCTCACAACTCCCCTAAAGGACAAACACTATCATTGTCCCCATTATACAGCCGTGGAAACTAAGGTTTGTGGACGGTAACCAATCAGGTCACTTTAATAGGACTAGTAACCCGAGCCAGGCACTGTAATTTCCAGATCCTTCCTTCTCATTATCGCTCCCTGTCCCCTCATCTCTGCTCCTCTCTTCCCCTCTTTGGAATTCTCTCCCGAGTCATGCGGACTTTCTGGGCCCAGCAGAAGCCGAGAGAGCAGCCCTTCCACCAACCTCCTTGCAGAGCAAAGGCCCCAACCGATGCCCGGCGTGAGCACGTGCTCGGAAACAGGAATAGACGTGTGGATTTGTACATATACCTGCAAGCACCCATGTCTGGGGGTGCACAGGGCCCCCACCTTCCTCCAGACTGCCCTCCCAGCTTGCACCGGACGGCTCCCCTGCACCCCAATCGCCATCATGCCCGCCCGCCACCCAACCCGCTGGCCCTCGGGGCAGAGCCCCGGACGCCCCCAGCCCGCTTAGTTACCCAGTTGCGGGCCCGGAACGCCTGCACGCATCGGGAGCCCAGCGCGCCCCTGCCGCCGTACACCAGCACCCGGCGCGCCTCTCCTGCAGCGGCCGCCATCCTGTTCCTCTCGTTCGGCTCCCGCAGCTCCGAACACCGCCCCCGGCGCGCCCCGCCCCGGCCCTGCCGACCAACCGGGACAAGAGGGACCGCGCAGAGGCCGCGCCCCGCGCCGCGCCCGCTACTGCCGCCTAGCGCGCGGCCGCGCACCGCGAAGAAAGCCACCTTGAAGGGCGGGAGCCCTCCGCCACGCCCCCAACCCGGCTGGCCCGCCCCCGGGGTCGGGCGAACCAGCAAAGCCCCGCACNTTCAGGCAGGGTTTACCAACGGACGCTTAAAACCATTAGGTTTTCAGAATTGAGGATTCTCAAGGTGTTTGGGAACAGGATATTCACACACGATGCCAAAGTACCATCCCACAATTCACTTACTAATTGCAGACAGAAAAATGTAGCTTTCCAACCTAAGTGTATCAGCTACAACCTTAACTAAGCATCAAATTTGGCATCGCTATGGATGGGGAGGTTGATCTGACATTATGAGAGTCCCGCTGTGATTAACATGAAGTACACATTACTCAGGAAGAATTCTCGCCTCCAAAATATTTAACCTGAATCTAAGAAAGTCCCTAAACCTGTATTCCAGCTCAAAGCAAATACACGGGATACAGGAACAAGGTAAATGATACCTTAAAGAAATGGTTAGACAAATTCATATGCAGGACCTTCTATATGAAAATTGCCCTTACTCACCAAGTTTAACATAGGGAAAAAAAACAATCTAAATTAAGAGACTAAAAACAACAACAAAATGCAGTATATACACCCTGACTAGAATATGTTCAGGGGAAAAAAAAAACCATAAAAGATATGAGATAAATTGGGAAATCTGAATATGGGTCAGATATTATTAATCTTACAGAATTACTGTTAATTTTTTTAGATGTGATAATGGTATTATGGAAATGTAGGAGAATAGGCTTATTCCTTGGGGATGCATGCTGAAATATATTAAAGTGCCAACTTACTTTCAAGTGGTTAAGAAAAAGATTCACAGAGTACACACACGCAGGGAAGCCAGAGAATGCAAATAGAGAAAATGCTAACAATTACTGAATCTAAATGAAGGAAATGGGGATGTTCACTGAACTGTTCTTTCAACTTTTCTGTATGCTTGAAAATGTTCATAATAAAAAGTTAGAAAACGTACTCAGCTTTAATAAAAAGAAAAAAAAAAACAAGCTCAATTTTAAGTCCTTTTGACCTTCATAATCTTTCCGTTTCATACACACCCCCAATTCCCAGTAATAAGCCCTGNCACATAACTTGCCTGGGTCACCCAGCCAGGAAATAGCAGAGCCAGACTTCAGACCCATGGCACTTGACTTGGGTATCCTCAGCCAGTCCAGCCCTCAGGTGTAGGCTGCCTGCAGAAAGGAACCTTCAGGGGGCATGGCAACTGCTTCCACTTCTGTTTATAGAAAACCTTCATAAGCTGAGGGGAAGTGAGGGGCTCTGCACCGCGTCTCTGGAATCGGATTACGCCAGTTCAAAGTCCCACTCAGATGTTTACTGGCAGGGAGATCTTGGGCAAGGCACTGGACTGGCGTCCGTGAACGTGAGCGGGCACAGGTGTCAGCTGGCACCCAGTGTGACGTTAGAGCTGCTCTGGATGTAAATAGAGCAGGACTGCAAGCCTGGCTTATGCTGGGTCTTCTCGGAAGAAAAGGCCAAACAGAAAAGGCAATACTCTGCAAGCCTTTAGAATCAAACAGTTAGATCTCTGATGAGAGCATTGTCCTACAAAATCATAATCAACGTAATGATGATGCAAGGGAATAAGGAATTGTATTAACTATTTGATGTCTGTATTTCAAAACTGTAGCCTCTAGGAACCTCGCCAGGGTACATCTTATTAAATTTATAAAGACAGGAAGCTGGACCAATGACAAATATACATTATTTATATAGATGAAGGAAATATATATATTTGTTCTGTATATTCAAGAAAAAAAGGTCTCTGGGAATAGTTATATTTACCCAACAATTAAATTGGAACAGGGACATTAGGGATATTGGAAAAGTAGCTCTATTAAAAACATAACACATAAAGCTGAAAACACATACACACAAACAGAGACATGTTAAAAGGAAACCATATATGCAGAACTTGGTTCTGAACTGGGTCTGACTGCTGTAAAGGATGTCCTGAGACAACTGGTGAAACTTAAATGGGGTGCAAGGATTCAATGGCAGTCATGTTTCAGTGCTAGCCTAAGGATTTTGATGGTTGTAGTGTGGTTGTATAAGAGATGTCCTTTGTCCTTTTTGAGGAAATAGACCCTAATGTACTCAGGGGTGAAGGGGAAATTTATTCGAATGGCTCAGGAGGGGAAAAAAAAAATTCCTTTGTACCATTCTTGAGATTTTTGTGAAGCTTGAGATTATTTCAAAACCACACACACACACACACACACACACACACACACACACACACACCGTTTAAGGGGGAAATGGCACCATTTTTAAAATAGCTATAGTTAATTAAAATTAATGAACCTCATGAATGAAGTTCCAAGGCTTGAACAAGGAAGTGACAGATTCAACAGCAGTAATATTGCAAGATTTTAAGAAGAAAAATGGTGCTTAGGGAATATAATAAAAATAGCCCATGGTAATTACATAGCATGTATATCATGTTACCATGAAACCGCCTCCTTACATACTTGATAATTTATCTGTTATGTTTATTATTTATTATCTGTCTCCACCCCTTTAGTATGTAGCACCATAAGGGCAAGAATCTTATTTTGTTCACTGATGATCCCAACCAAGCCCCTAAAACAGTGCCTGGCACATAGTAGGTACTCAAAAACATTGGTTGGATAAATAATGATAAAGTACTTTTAAATTCATTTCTACTGAACGCTCATATACAGGATGCCAGACATGTGACCTATGCTATACTAATCCTCCACGACCCAGAGAGAAGACTGAGGTTCAGAGAGGTTAAGCAACTTGTTCTAGGTCACAGAGCCATGAGTGACAGAGCCAGGTCCCAACCCAAGTCAACCTGACCCCAAAACTCCCTCTTTCCACCATATGTTGCTCCTTCTGGAATCTGTAATTGGCAACTTTCCCAAGGCCTCCGCCAAAAGATGGTTATGAAAAGGCTGCGCCCTTCCACTGTGGTGCTAATTAAACTGCTGCCACCCCAGCTTACAAAAATATGACTACTTCTCGCAGAAGCCACAGGCAATGAGCACTTCGTGTCTGACCCGTGGAGGAACTCATAAACGTTCCCTTCTCTCCTCCCTTTCCTTCTCAGATGATGCCATGGGGCCAACCCCTGGGTTCATCTAACATGGCCTGCTTTCTGAAGCATCAGAACTACACAGAAATCATGAAGGATGTCTTAATATTATCCCTGAGTAGAATAATATTCAAGAAAGTTTTGTTTCCAGCAACTCTGGGGGCATCCAAGAGGGGGTTACATAAACATCCACTCCCAGGGCCTTGCATGGGATTCCTTTTGAAAACCTTTGGGCACTGGGGCCAGGTTCCTCCTGTTTGGCTGATTTTATAATGCAGCAGTTCAGGGACACTCTGTCTATGACAATGTTCTCTGGAGCCAGAGTGAGTGTCCTGCCTTTAGGTGGAGAGCTCCTGGTGCTTGTACAATGCAACTGTGCAAGGCAGTGACAGGACATATCACAGCTCTTTTACCCCCGAGTTGGAGTCAGGATTTACCTGCTTCTGTCTACTATTGACCTGGAGAAAAAGAAAATCTCTCCTCCCAGGGCCCATGTGCAGGTCTGCAAAAATGGGGGCATCAAAGTACTTTGTAAACCGTAGAGTCAGGAGGTTTGATTGGGTCTCATGGACAAACTCTATTCTCACTGTCACAGAGGTCTCCCACAGAATCAACCCAGAGAGTCAATTCCCAAGCCGGTCATAGAGAAAACCAAAGAACTATACACTTGATCTTCGAACAACATGGGGGGTTAGAGGCCCCAACCCCCTACAAAGTAAAAAATCTGCATATAACTTTTGCCTCCCCAAAAACTTAACAGCTAAAGCTTACTGTTGACCAGACGCCTTACTGATAACATAAGCAGTCGGTTAACACATCTTTTGTATGTTATATGTATTATATACTGTGTTCTTACAATAATATATGCTAGAGAAATGAAAATAGTATTTAGGAAACCAAAAAGAAGAGAAAATACATGTACAGTGCTCTACTGTATTGATTGATACTGTAAGTGTACACTGCCTGTTTAAACTTAAGATGAAAAAAAATCCTTGTATAAGTGGACCCATGCAGTTCAAGAGTCAACTATACATCACAACCAATTAAGATTCTTTTATATACCCAGACCTTCTGAAATAAAAATGAGTCAACCTATGGGTTTGGGTGGCTAGGGAAAGAAAGAGACAGACATTAATTTAGCCATGTCCACACATTCAGCTGTGTTGGATTGAGGATTTATGGGCCCGGCATCCTTAGGAAAACAGGGGTGACCAAAACATGGCTGCCTGCTCTCCAGCAGCTTACTGTGTGTGAAAGAAGCACAGGACCTGAGACCTAGGCATCGGGCCGTCGCTCATAGCACGTTTCCTTCAATACTTTCTACCCTAGAGGAAAGATTTTATTATGCCCATTTTACTGATGAGGAAATTGCGGACCAGAGAAATCAATAAATGAAATAAGTTCTGTAAAACACCTGATGTAATGCCTGATACATGGGCAGCGCTTGGCAGTGTTTAGTTCTCTGGCTCCCGCCCACCTGCCGTCCCACAAGCATTCCATCAACACCCAGGGCCTGGGTCTGTCTCCCAAGCTCAGGCTTTTCTTCTTTACCTTGCGGGGGCAAAAGGGACTGCTAGACTTCTGTGGGATTGGTGGTAACCGAATGATGGAATAATTAGATATTATCTCATTTTAGATGCTGATAGAATGATTCATCACCTCTGATATTCAAGTGAGGTAGCTCTAATGCATACAAAACATGAATATTCAAATTTAAAATAAGACCTCTAGAATTCCATAAAGAGAATAATACCTCTTTCATTCCTTTAGGATTCACATTTTAAATCTTTGCTTATCCAAGTTTATCTGATTTTTTTTTAGGCCCTCTCTAGGTCTATCCATAAGCTCCGTAGCAAAGCAGTGAGGACAGCACTTCCTGACTACGTGACCTTGGCTGAGCTATTAAACTTGGCATTTCTTCATTTGTCAGAGTGAGAGAGGGTTTCCACTAGCAGTACCAGCTAGAACGCATATATGTGCCTGGCGCATAGTGTGGCTATTGTCATTTACTGCCATGGGTCATATGTATTTATGGTCATAGATTTCAAGCTGGAAACTTATATTTAATCCTTAAGTCAGAGATCTCTAAAGCTTTTGGAAACTAGTTACAAATATGAGAAGCCAACAAACAGCAGCTTTCCTGGGGTGACACTGTGTGACGGGACCAAATGTGGAATCACCCCTCAAAAAATCATTAATGGAAGGAACTGAGGCATTAAAACTCCCCAGGAAAGATTTGAATTTCTAAATAATGACATATATTAAAACTAATAAGATCTCAGTTACCTGGGAGATCCTAAGCCCTAGNAAAATCAGCTTTGGCTGAAAACCACTGCCCTAATACCATTGTAACCTTCTTAACAGCAGGACCCCATATTTTACATCTTTGTGTCACCCTTCACCCAAACACAGTGCCTTGTACACAGCACACACACACACATTTATTCAATAAACGTGTGCCAGGTAAGACACGCAGCAATACATCGTTCGAGAACAGCATGCACCCTGCAACATATTTTATTATCAGAAGCCTCATTACCAGCAATAGAATTGCTAGGAGACTGGATACAGAGGAAGACAACATTTATTCAGCGCCCTCTGTGCTAAGTGTTATTTCAGTTTACTCCATACAATCCTATGACAAATTAGGAAACTGAGGCATGAGAGTCACTGGCCCAGAAGAGTAGATATTTGAACCCAGGTCTCCAATAGTTAGAGTTCTGCTTAAGCACACCTCCATTCATCATGGCAAGGGCTTGTGGAAAATCAGTTGTTTCCCATAGAATTTTTCAGCTTAACCCCTAAAACACCCAATGTTGACATGGGTCCATCATTGGGGGCAGATATACAACACAAAGGTATTACACATATCTTGCCTTCTCAGAGCATGCTTAATGTTACAATAAGAATAACTAATATTATTGGTCACTTATTAATGTGCCAAACACTCTTCTAAGCCTTTTATATGCATTGTGTTATTCATTACCAGAAAAAAATTTTTTTGCTATTTCAAGGTCATTGTGATGAAGATGAGCTGTTGTATTTCAAAGACCTAAATACCAGCCCTAGCCCTGACCTCCAGTTTTCTCATAAGAAAAGGGGCTGGAATAGTAGTACCTCCCCTGCCTGCCACAAAGGGTTACTGAGCATTGTGGGAGAGCAAGCATATGACAAAAGCCCTTTGTATGGGGTAGAGCTCTGCACAAGCTTCGGAGGCTCTCTTCTTTATGTTTATTGTGGAGGGACCACAGAAGTGAACCCCAGTGATAGGGATGAAATCTGACGTCTACCTTCCCATGTCCCTCTGCCCCCATGGGGCCTTCTGGGTGAGGTTCCTGAAACTCCTGTTGGTTAGCAGCTCAACCTCCTGAACCCCCTCCCCCACAGACTTCTGTGATCAAATAAGGAATTTTACTATGACCCTTCTGCCCAGTTTTGCTCCCCAAAGCTATTGACAGTGGTTGTTGCCAGTCTCAAAAGACATTAAGTTGACATTTAGCAATGGATTAAAAGTCAAAATTTAAAAAGCCTCAGTATAGGATAAAAATTAGGGAATATTTCAATCCTAGTGCCTATAGATTAAAAGAAAAAGAGAGATCATCACTATTAGAAGAGAGAAAGGCCCATCAGGGTGATTATTATTTGCTAACACATTAGAAAAACACATTCCTTTCCCATTTTAGTGAAACCAATGGCAGGGTACAGAAAAGAGGAGTGTAAGTGTTGGGGTCCAGCTTGCCCCAGAAGCCACAAATGGACCAATGCTGCAATGTCACCCACAGCAGATTCACCCAGTGATAAACCCAGGAATCAGGAAGCCTTGTTTACACATTTCAATTACAAGCCTCGAGCACAGAGGTCATCTCATGGTATTAATAACAGTTGTGGGGATTCTGACAGCAGTGACATTTTAGAGAAAGAAATGCCCGGGCACGCATCAAAGAGATGGACATTTGATACCATGCATTGTCGGCAATAGTCAAGTGTTAACCATTCCATTTTTTTTTCCTTCCACTGGATGCATTTCTGAGAATGGTTAGTGTCTCTGTACAGTCAGATCTACCAGGTTTTGCCTGCTAATAACTTCCTCGTCATTAAGAGGTCCACACCCAGGGTTATTTAAATACTTGAAACGAGGAACAATTAAACCCTCGGCTGAAACATTAGTCTAGTGGGAGATATAGGGTTACTTCCTTCAGTAACACACTCCTCTACACTGAGTCGAGTGAAGACCGGCTCTGTAGCGATCCGGATGTGGTTGTAGTAAACATGGTCTGTGAGGCAGGCCCTGAGAGAGGACCGGGGATGGACGCGGGATCTTAAAATGGTGTGTTAGGAAGAGTCGACCTTGGAGCAGAGGATTACCGAGTGTCCGGAAGCCGTCAACGGCCCCTGCTGCAGCTCGGACACATGGGGGATGACCTGCACCCACTAGAATGCCTGGATGGTTCAAGAAGGCGTGGTACGGGCTGGCATCTTTACTCAGCTTCTCCTCCTTCATCCTGATCATCGTGGCGCTGGCCGTGCCCCACTGGCTGAGTGGGAAGATCCTTTGTCAGACTGGAGTGGACCTGGTCAATGCCACCGACCCAGAGCTGGTCAAATTCATTGGGGACATTTATTACGGACTCTTCCGAGGCTGTAAGGTGAGGCAGTGCGGGCTCGGGGGCCGCCAGTCCCAATTCACAGGTGAGTATATCTGGGGCAGGAAACCTGCCTTAGAACGCTTCTTTGTGTTCTTTTTTTAATTTGGAAGGGTGCTTATGTCTAAATGTGGAATTCTACTGCCTCACTCTAAGGCATAATGACACAATAGTAACCCAAGGGTTTTCATTCAGCATCAAGAAAAACACCTTTTGTTTTTTGGTTTTTTGNTTCTTTGCAAATCACAGAATCATAACCTGAGATAATTCTACTCTCCCCCAATACAAAAATCCCTTTAACTGCAACTCCAAAAGAAAATGCCAAAGAGAAATTTTTTTTTTAAAATAGAGTCAGTGGCAAAATGTTGGTAAATACTGCGTACATAGGATTCATTTTACTATTAATCTATTTCTGTTTGATTGAAATTTTTAAAGTTGAAAATACAAGCATATACATGTCCTTTTATTACAATTTATTAAAACAAAAATCTGGCGAGACAGGCGATTCTGGCCATTGACCACGACCCTTTTACATATTTCTCTGGAATGGCTGAGATGACGCCTCTAATTGCCTCCTTAGGATCCATCTTAAGACTTATCGCAAGATAGCGTATCTCCCCCAGCAGCAAGACTCCAGCCCCTGACGGCTTTCCCCAGCAATTTCTGAGGCCTCAAATTACTTTCAAAGAGAATGCCTAAGCAATGGAAACCAATCTTTCCTCCCCCTACACTTTACACCTAAAGCTTTCAAGAAATTCCTGCATTTCCCTTGGCCTCTATTAATGAGTATCTCACCTAATCATTACCCGGTTCCCAGCTGCCTGCTCCCCTTCATTTTTAAGACAGGTCCTGTTGCCAAGAGCTGAGATCCCAGCTGCTGTGGGAAGTTGGATCATCTCCCCTGACGTGTGTATGTACACACAACCTATGCATGTTCTACTTTTTAGGGAAGCACGGAGTCCGCAGCAGCAATGCACCTGTATGACTTGTTTTTTACAATATTTGTGCATTTTTAAATTCCTCGCCCTTAAATTTTGCTCTCTGCCCAATAGTTTTCTCTAGATTTAGTGCCTTTTTCACTTCTTGGTCTCCACCAGTGAATATCCTGCCCAAGGGGGCTATTTTAGAATGTATTCTAAATAAATAATCAGAGATGGAGATAAAGACATCTGCCACAGGATTCTTGATCATGGTAAAAAAAAGAAAAACTGCAAAAAAGTTAAATGTATAGTATGTGGAAACAGGAAATTGTGGCCAGTGCATAAAATTAAAAATTTTATCTTGACATGAAGGTTTTTTTTTNATTCCCTCTCCCCATCATTCTAATATGGTTATTTCTCAATTTTTATTAAGTCAAATCTGGAGTTGGGTTCATATCATTATATGGTTATGATTAGTTCCTTTTAAAAGTTGCATTTTGTGGTTGTACCTTAATTTATTAAGTCAGTCTCCTATTGATTCATATTTTGATTTTCTCCAATCTTCTGCTGCTGTAACGAGTGTCTGATATATGCACCTTGGAGCACAGGTAGGAGTGCTTTTCCTAGAAGTGAAATTGCTTTGATAGATGCTGTCAAATCGCCCTCTAAGGAGAGTGTATGAACTGATATTCCTACAAGGTTTGACAGTGTCTGCTTCCTTACAGTTTCATCAATACACTGTATTAGCGAACATTTTGATCTTTGCCAATCACATAGGTGATTATTTTCTATTTTAAATGTTTGATGAGGATTACTATGCCAGCTATGTGTTTTTAGGACTGCACTAAAAGGAAGGGGGAAATGAAACAATTAGGTAATCAGGCATAAGATACCACGTTAGGAGGAAAAGGGGGCTGAGAGTTTGAAAAGAAAAAGAAAAAAACTAAGGAACGCTGAGATGGTAGGGAAGGAAAGGGAAGAAAGAAGACTTACGCAGAAAACTCCTCGGAAAGAAGCTTCTTTTCCATGGTAGTTTCCAGTGCTAATGTGATAACCTGGTGGAGACAGCTATAAATGGAAAGACAGAAATGGAAAGAAAGTTAAATCAGAACTAAGGACGTAAATGTGGAGTGTCTGGAAACTTCTGGTGGAAAGGACACTTTAAAGGGAGAAGGACCAGAAACTCTCGTTCTCAGGTTTGAGAGACACTGACCTTCTGTGAATAAAGGGAGGCAGTGAGCCAGCAAAGGCACCAGAAGGGAGAGGGGTGGGGGTTTGGCGGTGAGTGAAACAGGAAAACTTTGAGTCCTGGCTCCCAAAGGGGGACAAAGAGGTGCCAGTCAATGAGTGGTGTCAAATGCTGGAGCTCACAAGATGGACCCCGGTTTGACCAGGAGATATTCACTAGAAACCCTGGAATAGTTGCAGAAGAATGGGGAGGCCCAGGAGTTCTTTAGCTTTCATCATTTTAAAGTCTTCATTTATAACGACTGAAAACAGTGATCTACATACCATATGCTATATAGGACTATAGTCCTACACAGAGTTCAGGGTCACGTAGCCCAGTGATAAGAGACTTACTGTCTCCAAGCCTGTGGCAAAAGGGAGTTATGAAATCTATCTCACGTCCTTGTCATGAGTTTGAAGAAGATAACAAAAGTAAAACGCTCGGTCCATGAATGCTCAGTAAATGTTGACTACCCTCAATTCTTACACTGAGCAGGCATTATCATCCCCATTATACTGATGAGGAAACTGAGGCTCTGAGAAATCACATGACTTGACCCAAGTCAGAGAGTGAAAATAATAAAAGCAACAACCACAGCCACCCTTTTGGAGAGTTGAGTCTTTCCCGGACAGTATTTAAAGACATCTACTATGATAGGTCATTTAATCTTCACAGCTAGGACAGGGTGGCCAATATGGAGAAAACAACTACAAATGAATACTTCTCTAAATTTTCCTGCCACATGAATATGGACGTTCGATATTCTAAAAGAGCATGGTGCAACGTAAGGATTGAGTGTCCATCATACATGGGAAAATAATGTCCACCTTGCCAAATCATCATGAGGGACCCAAGAGGATGCTCCTTGCTTTCCATTAGTACCCGAAAGTGGGTGCCATTACTATTCCTATGCACGTCATCTGATCCACTCAACAGTCTTGTAAGATGGGAGGGCAGGGTTCAGAGGGTCCTATTTTCTGGTTGTGGCAAACGAGCAAGGCTGGGAATCGAACCCAGATCCTTGGATGCCACATCCAGGTTTCGCTCGTCTACACCCTGCCACCCTCTTCACAGATAGGCCTGAGACCTCTTCTACCTCTCGGATCTAATGAAGGCAACTCTTTGACCCAGATTCAAGCTTTGCCATCGGCCCTCTTTCACTGACTCTATTTGCAGCCTCCTTTGCTAAACAGATACCATCTGGGGCTTGTGTGCATCAGCTCATACAAGATCCCAGCTCTGCGAGGTCAATGCAACTTAAATTGCCAGCTGGGGCACATTGTGACTTGGTATCCACCCCAAGGAAGACAGGATGGTTGGTCAACTGACAAGTGGCAAATCTGGGGGCCATGAGTTGATCTGGAGAACGCTCCTGCTCTTTGCAAACCCAGCACTTGCTGCCCGGCCCTCACGCCTGTCTATTAAAGCCTTCGTGGTAAGCAAGTTTGGGCTTCATGGACTTGAGCTGAGCTCTGACATTGACCTAGTGGCTGTGTCTTCTCTCCCCAGTCTTCCCACACCTGGTGAAGGAGCTCAACGCGGGCCTCCACGTGACGATTCTGCTGCTCCTCTTCCTGGCTTTGGCCCTGGCTCTGGTCAGCACGGGCTTTGCCATTCTCAACATGATCCAGGTTCCGTACAAGGCAGTCAACGGCCCTGGGGGCATCTGCCTGTGGAATGTCCTTGCAGGTAAGAAGGCCCCGAGGCAGAGTAATTCGTGGCCACACCATCACCAGGCTGAGTTCCAAGAAACTAGGCGGATGGCGTGAGAAAATGAACACAGCCTCTAGGCCTTCATTTCCCTGAGTCTGTGTAACCTTCCTGGTGGGCACAGCTGCCCTCTTTACGAAAGATTGCAGGATCTCTCTGTCAATAAAAAACCAAATTGTTAGGGTGCATGAGTGGCTGAGGATCAGAGCTGCAAAGAGAGGTCAGGGTGAGGGGAGAGAACAGACGGAGAGCTGAGGGTGAAGAGGCGGACATGTGAGAGGGAGGAGGAGCTGGGGCGGCGGCTGCCGCCAGGCTGGGTGGAACCCTCACAAATGAAAGACCGGACCTGGGCCTTTTACCTGCCAATTTTGTTTGAACCTCACAGCCTCCCTATGAGGTGGTATTATTAGACCCATACAGATGAAGAGCCTGAAGCTCAGAGAAGTTCAAAGGTGCACCCAAGGTCACACAGCAATGGGTAGCCAAGGTGGGATTCCAACCCAGGTATGAATGCATCTAAGTCCTTTGCCTTTTCATTAATCCACGGTCTCATTTACGACCATCATGACCTATTTTCCAAGCCAAACACCAAGACAAAAGGAATGTGTGTGTGTCAAATATATTGATACCTAAAAAATAATTCACATTTAATTTTGAACTTTAAAAATAACTTGTAATGAAAATAACAAAATCCTAAGACTTGAGGTCTGTTTCAGAAAACCCAGGTCTGGTGATCAAGGTATCGCTATGGCAGTAACCCCCTCATACCTTTACTATATACAGGGTAACCATAGAGTATAAGGGCAGGTAATGTTGATTGGTCATGTCTTAGAATGTGATGTCAGTAAGCCAATTGCTATGTATCTGCCTGTATTTTCAGACTGTGGCCATCCTGTAGAATTACTTCCATACATGGCTCCCCCATACCTGGTGTGCAGGTGTTTCGTTCATCTCTACCTGAGTCCTCACAGCGCTGGCATGTAAAAAGTGCTCAGTCCTGCTTGTTAAATAAACGCTTATCTCTCTCAGTTTCCTTCCTCAGAGACACAGTACTCTCAAGTTCTAAAAAGGCAATGTGACAGAATTTTGGTGTCAAAAGGCATAAAAACATGAATATCTTTTGATTAAATAATTCCAATAGGGATTTATGCTAAGAAAGTAACTGAAAAGGAGCACAAAGGTGTACAGAAAAAGGGGTTCACTGCAGCGCTTTATAATATAAAAAATTAGAGGCAATCTAGATATCCAGAAATAAGATCACATTTAATTAAACTTAATTAAATTAATTAGGCATGTCGCTAAGATAAAACACCATGTACCAGTTTAAAGTGGTGCTGTAACAGAATGTTTAACAATGTAGAAAAATGTTCTACTAAGGGGAAGAAATCAAGTGTAAAACAGTAAGAGCACCATAATACTAATTTTTTTCAAGAGAAAGAAATGTAAAGAAATATACTAAAATGTTTAAAGTGTTTATACCTGGCTTTTAGGATAAAAGTAAATTTGTATTTTCATCTATCTCTGGTGTCCAAATTTTATTCAGTGAAGATGTAATGATGTAACAAAAAATATAATAAGGGTGTTTTTTAAAATATTAATTAAAATCCAAGCAGTAGAAAAGGAGAGAAAGAGAAATGGAATGGAGGGAGGAAGGGAGGGAGGGAAAGAGGGAAGGAGAGAGAGTTTGAAGCAACAGGTAGACAGGTAGGGTAGTTTGGAACCCTTCCAGTTTCCTGTCTCTACTTTCCTTTTCTTCCTCTCTTGTGTCTTCCTCTTAATCTAAATCATGGAAAGAGGATAATAAAAAAGGAGAGAACGGTCTAAACTCTCTGTTGAAACCCCAATCTGCACAGTAAGGTGTTCTTGTATCTTCCTGTGTCACTCTCAGGGTTTACATCCAAATTCGAAAATATTTAGAAATTGAACTTATCCAAATGTGGATACCCTAGAAATACTGGCAAATGTAGATACCCTAGATACTGGCAAGAGAAAAAATATTAGAGGAGTCAAGATTCAAAGTCAATCGAACACGAAGCTTATTCTCTCTTTCTCACACCTCTTGCCTCTCACACTGCGTGGGTTATCTGCAGCTTTTGAAGCAAATTAAAATTTGTGTCTCCCTGACAACTTTTTTAAACCCAAAGCGAGTTTGTTACCTGTGCCACAGAATTGCCACCTTGCATAAAGTCATTACAACCGCCAAAAGGAACTGTGAATGATGGTGACGTTTTTGGGTTTCAGGTGGAGTTGTGGCGTTGGCCATCACCAGCTTCATGGCCGCGGTGAAATTTCACAACCTGACAGAACGAATCGCCAACTTCCAGGAGAAGCTCTTTCGCTTTGTCGTGGTGGAAGAACAGTACGAAGAGTCATTTTGGATCTGCGTGGCCAGCGCCTCAGCCCATGCTGCAAACTTGGTTGTGGTGGCCATTAGTCAAATTCCCCTTCCAGAGATTAAGACCAAAATAGAAGAGGCCACAGTCACAGCAGAAGACATCTTGTATTAAGAGCCTTCTCCTGCTCATAGCCTTTCCTATATCAATTCTGTAGTATGAATGGAGGCCTCATTTTTGGAGGCTTCCCAGCCCAGAATGTTCATGGTTTTGGCAATAAGGAGAAGGAACTCAAAGGAGAAAGGGGGTTGCCTGGGCTAGGAAAGAAAACCTTTCCCAAGTTCCTGGCATCTCTGCCTTTCTCTCTCACTGACCTTGGACTTAGAGTTGCAGTTGGAGACTCTGCACTTGCCAGCTGTGGGTGACATTGGACAATTCACTCAGTGTCTACTTCTCAGTTTCCATATCTGTAAAATGGAGACCAGAATGACCTCACAAGACTGTAATGAGGTCTCAATGGGCGATGATGTTGCCAGGCTTTGGATGTCGTAGAGCACTCCACAAATATCAGGTACTGAGCCCTCCAATAAATGTCTACAGACCCCTGGTCTATTCCACACAATATTAGGGGGAATATGTTGATATCTCTGCCCTCCAGAAACAGCGAATCTTTCCACATGACACAGGAATTAGAGAGCAACAATAACACTAAGAATGAAAATAACTACCTTTTTTTAGTGATTCTACATGCTGGACACCGTTCTAAGAGTTTTACATATATTAGGTCCTCACCACAACCGTAGATTGTCAGTACGACTCTATTTCCATTTTATATTATAGATGAAGAAACTAAGGTATAGACAGGCTGGGCAACTTGCTGAGGTCAGGAATTAAATCGTGGAAGTCTGGAGCCAGAGTCTATATTCGTTAACCACTTTGCTAATCTGTTGTCTGACGTACAAGCAATTGCAACACACTGTGGGATCAATGTCATGACAGTACAGACATAAAGGACCGAGAAAGGAATTAATTCTTCAGGATGGGATGTGGAATTAAAGAAAGTGTCACAGAGGTGACATTTGATCTGAACTTTGAAAGATGAGTAGGTATTTTCCAGTGAGGAAGGAGGCAGGGTTGGAGAAGGGCATTCCAGGATGAGTCAGTGCCGAGGGGAGGCCCAAGGGATGAAGTTACAAGAAAGGCTGGGAAGCATGTGAATACGCAGTGGGATTAGAAAGTCGCCTGTTGGAGAAACCCAGCTGTTTTGTGTTGGGTTTTCCTAAGTGGTACTGTGATGGTTAATTTTATGTCGACTTGGCTAGGCCATGGTACCCAGATATTTGGTCAAACGCTGTTCTAGATGTTTTTGTGAGGGTATTTTTTGGAGCAGACTTTGAGTAAAGCAAATTGCTCTCCATGGTGTGGGTGGGCCTCATCCAATCAGTTGAAGGCCTTAAGAAAAAGACTTTCCACTCCTGAGGGAGATGGAATTCTGCCAAAAAAGTGGCATTGGGCTGAAACTGCACATCTGTCCTGGGTCTCCTGGCTGCCAGCATACCCTGCAGAGTTTGGACTTGCCCGTCTGCACAACCATGAAAGCCAGTTCCTTAAAGTAAATCTCTCTCTCTCTCTCTCTCTCTCTCTCCCCCCCCCCCTCTCTACACACACACACACACACACACACACACACACACTATTGGTTCTATTTCTCTGGAGAGCCCTCATTCATACAGGTGCACAGCCCTATTAATTCATTTTCCCATGATGCCAGCTCAGGTGAATCCTTTCCCGGGTCTCCTGTCTTCATGCCAAATAAAATATTACCTAATCCCCCAAATTAGCTCCATCTTAAATGACACCTGATTGAGGACTCTCTCTACTTTAGCTTAATGCTGAGCTTCGGGAAGATTCCATGGCCTCTCTTATGTCCTAGTTGCTTAGGATTCCCTGCTGGACCCACCTGTCCCTTCCAGCCCTCTATCCCCATCCCAGACACAGCTGCAATACTAGTTAGTGGACTGATGTCACTCATCAAATATGCAGATGGCACATGGCTGGAAGGGATAGTTAACTCGCTAGGAGATAGATCCAAAAGATAGTGACACACTGCAGTGCTGTCTCAAAAACATGTGGAAATGTCAATGTCCAAGTTTAACATAAAGTCCTCCTCATGGCTAAAAATAATCAATACCATAAATTCAGAGAAGACTCAGGCAACTGTTTCTATGATAAATGTCTGAAGATCTTGGCACATTTATTCATTCAACAAGTATTGAAACTGATCTAGGTGCTGGGAGTACAGCAATGAACAGACAAATATCCCTGCCCTCCTGAGATTTTGTTCTCTGTCCCTGCCTCTCTCCCGAAGGAGGTCCTGAGGTGGTAGGAGAGGGAGGCACATACACACATACATACCACTGATTTCCAGGAAGTGTCCCTGGGCCTTCTGCTTATTCTGGGGGGTTACACTGACTAGGCTCATTGGATTCCTGTGCCCCTGCCTGCTGCTTGCCCTGCCAGCCTCCCCAGCATTGTCTGAGCCTGGAATAATTTATGAAATGTTCTGTCAACTGGTCAAAGCCCGGTCAGTGCCCGGGAAGGTTTGTCCTCATCTTGGATCCTGCCGGCTGCAGACCCCCAAGTGACCACCAAGTCCTCCCTCCAGCTCACCTGTCGGCCCACTGGTCCAGACCCAGGTTTGGCTGCAGAGTCACCCACCTGCCTCAGCGGCCTAGGAGCTTCACCTGGCATCAACACAGAGGGTCCTGGGGCATCTCTCTGTCCTCTCTTATCAAGTAACCAAGGTGATTCACAGACTATTGTATACCCCCAAAGTTGCAGACTTGAAAGGTTCCCTGCTGCTCATATGGCAGTTTAGATATGAAATAAATTCCATTTAAAAAATTAGGTCTCTGGTTTTCAAAATCACCAGAATGGGCCGTAAGCATATAATTGGTACAAAAGTGGACTCTCACAGTCAGAGCCCACAGAAATGGCTATATTTTTCCCACACGTAGGAAAAAATTCATCAGACTCTCTTCCTGCCTAATGCTTCAAGGCAGGCTCAAACTGGCTGCCAGCCAATCAGGGAAACATGTTAATATGCCTCAGGTGAGGCCCAGCCCTTCTGAGGTCACCTTTTCCTCATTCATAGAATGAAAAAGTTATACTACGTGATGACGACCACCATCTAATGTGGGCCAGGCACTTAACATCCTAATTCTGACAACAATTATTCAAGATACACATTATTGTCTTTATTTTACAGATGGGCAATTTTAGGTTCAGAGAACTTAAGTAACTTGTTTAGGCCACATTATTAATAAATAACAGAGAAAGGATGTAACCTCCATCTATATAACGTCAAAGCTACCGTTTTCCCACTACATCATGATTATCTGTCTTGAAGGACTTGTAAGGCTTTTTCTCAAAACTTCTGCAGATGGCTGTGCAAGTTGCACCCCACCCAGGGGGTAGCTGCTCAGATCTAGCCCATGTTCCCCAGGCTCATCATGGCCTGAACCCTCAGGAATGCTCCCACCCTGACAGGGTGACTTCCTTATGCTCATCAAGGTGTCTGATGGGCTCACAGTGCCCTATCTCAGTCCATGTAAGGTCCAAATGTTCATCAAAACATTATTTTATGACTTTAGTAAGAGTGTGATAAAGATGATTTATTTTCACATGTGCCTTAAAGGTGACTTTCATATGTATCTATTGATAGATTATTATTCAAACTAACTACAGGCATCAAGGCCAATGAAACTTAGCTGGAATTCAAAGAAGTAATGTTATCTGTGAAACAAAGCCCTGCTCCATGTCCACTCTGTGAAATCTGAGTCACACATGATGTCTCAGTCCATTTGGGCTGCTATAACTAAGTGCCACAGACTGGGTGGGTTAAACAACAGAAATTTATTTTTCAGTTCTGGAGACTAAAAGTTCAAGATCAAGGTGCCGGTAGATAGGGTGTCTGTTGAAGACCCACTTCCTGACTTGCAGATGGCTGTCTTCTTATTGTATTATCACGTAGCAGAAAGCAGAGAG